CACAGGTGAGGAGACAGTGAATATGGACAGGTAAGAGACAGAAGATACCAGGTGAGATAATTACTGTCCAACAGGTAAGGAGAAGTGATCATGGACAGGTAAGAGACAGAAGAGACACCAGGTAAGGGAGACAGTGATCATAGACAGATAAGATACACCAGATGAGATACTTACTGTCCCACAGGTAAGGAGACACCGAACATGGACAGACCAGTGACAGAAGAGACAGGTCAACACATGGAGACATCCGATGGCCGCCAACACAATCAGCCCGCCTCGAAATATTCCTCCCAGCCGTATATAACCACCCACGCCCACGCCCACGCCCCATATAACTATAAAAGGGCAAACGTAGCCATGTAGGAGCAGTGGTCGGGGTACATAAAGGCCTACAGACTGGACTAGGTCGTCAATACAGCTGCTAAGCTATAATGCCTCTCTCTATCAGATACGACAACACTATCCGATTACTTTTAAAAACCTATTATATAAACTTATGCCCAGAAAATCATTATTAATTAACCTACAAAGAATTAAATTTAGTATATATATATAAAATATGTAAAATAAATAACTTTTTTCCTATTTTTGAGTAATTTTTAGTATTTTTTAGTTGTGTAATTAATTAGCCACAGCCAGACATCCGAACATAACATAATGGACAAGAGAAGACCAGATGGCGCAACTGACAGAAGACTGTGTTCGAATGGCTTCATTAACTATTCTATTTTCTAACAGGTATATCTTATATTATTATCAATATTAAATAAATTTATTAACTATGTGAGCAAAATAAATAAAAGTTTTATATTTCTTCTACATTATTACTTAAATAAATTAAAAAATATATAATAATATATTTCTTCACCTAAATCATCAACCAAAGCCAGAGCCAATTATCCGAACAGTCACCATGGCCTGAACATATTCCATAGAGAATTTTTATTTTTTTTATCGCCACTAATAGTCATCAGTATAAGGCAGTATAAGAGTATAATGACTAAATACATAAGTAGCTTTAGATAATATACACAGTTGCTTTCAGTAATAGTTGCAAGAAAACATGACACAACACAAAAATATAGAATTCTGTCTATCTATCTATCTTTCAATCTATCTGTCTTCTAACTGTCCATCTATCTGTCTTTCTAACCGTCTATCTCTTCGTCTTCTAACTGTCCATTCATCTGTCTTTCTAACTATCTCATCTGTCTTTCTAACTGCCTTCTAACTGTTCATTCATCTGTCTTTCTAACGTTCATCTATCTGTCTTTCTAACTGTCTATCTATCTGTCTTCTAACTGTCCATCTATCTGTCTCTTTCTAACTGTCTATCTATCTGTCTTCTAACTGTCTATCTATCTGCTCTTTCTAACTGTCTATCTATCTGTCTTTCTAACTGCTCATCTATCTGTCTTTCTAACTGTCTATCTATCTGTCTTTCTAACTGTCTATCTATCTGTCTTTCTAACCGTCTATCTATCTGTCTTTCTAACTGTCTATCTATCTGTCTTTCTAACTGTCTATCTATGCTCCTTCTAACTGTCTATATCTGTCTTTCCGTCTATCTATCTGTCTTCTTCTAACCGTCATCTATCTGTCTTTCTAACTGTCTATCTATCTGTCTTTTCTAACTCTATCTATCTGTCTTCTAACTGCTCATCTATCTGTCTTTCTAACCGTTCATTCATCTGTTCCTTCTAACCGTCTATTTATCTGTCTTTCTAACTGTCTATATCTGTCTTCTTAACTGTCTATCTGTCTTTCTAACTGTCTATCTATCTGTCTTTCTAACTGTCTATCTATCTGTCTTCTAACTGTCTATTTATCTGTCTTTTCTAACTGTCCATCTATCTGTCTTCTAACTGCTCACTCCATCTGTCTTTCTAACTGTCTATTTATCTGTGTTTCTCATTCATCTGTCTTCTAACCGTTCATTCATCTGTCTTCTAACTGTCTCTTATCTGTCTTTCTAACTGGTCTCTATCTGTCTTTCAACTGCTCATTTATCTGTCTTTTCTAACCGTTCATCTATCTGTCTTTCTAACTCATCTATCTGTCTTTCTAACTGTTCATCCATCTGTCTTTCTAACCGTCCATTCATCTGTCTTTCTAACCGTCTATCTATCTGTCTTTCTAACTGTTCATTCATCTGTCTTCTTCTAACTGTCTATATTCATCTGTCTTTCTAACTGTCTATCTATCTGTCTTCTAACTGTCTATCTATCTGTCTTTCTAACTGTCTATCTGTCTTTCTAACTGTCTATCTGTCTTTCTAACTGTCCATCTATATCCGTCTTCTAACCGTCTATCTATCTGTCTTCTAACCGCTCCATTCATCTGTCTCTTCTAACTGTCTATCTATCTGTCTTTCTAACTCCATCTATCTGTCTTTCTAACGCTCCATCTATCTGTCTTCTTCTAACTGCTCATCTATCTGTCTTTCTCTAACGTCTATCTATCTGTCTTTCTAACTGCTCATCTATCTGTCTTTCTAACTCTATCTATCTGTCTTTCTAACTGTCTATCTATCTGTCTTTTCTAACTGTTCATCCATCTGTCTTTCTAACTGTCTATCTATCTGTCTTTCTAACTGTCTATCTATCTGTCTTTCTAACCGCTATCTATCTGTCTTTCTAACTGTCTATCTGTCTTCTTCTTCTAACTGTCTATCATCTGTCTTTCTAACTGTCTATCTGTCTTCTAACTGTCTATCTGTCTTTCTAACTGTCTATCTATCTGTCTTCTAACTGTCTATCTATCTGTCTTTCTAACTGTTCATTCATCTATCTTCTAACTGTCTATTCATCTTCTTTCTACCTGTTCATCTATCTGTCTTTCTAACTGTTCATTCATCTGTCTTCTGTTCATCTATCTGTCTTCCTAACCGGTTCATCCATCTGTCTTTCTAACTGTCATCTATCTGTCTTTCAACTGTCTATCTATCTGTCTTCTTCCGTCTATCTATCTGTCTTCTAACTGTCTACATCATCTGTCTTTCTAACTGTCCTACCATCTGTCTTCTAACTGTTCATTCATCTGTCTTTCTAACTGTCTATCCATCTGTCTTTCTTAACTGTCTATCTATCTGTCTTCTAACTCTATCTATCTGTCTTTCTAACTGCTCTATCTATCTGTCTTCTCTAACTGTCTACATTCATCTGTCTTTCTAACTGTTCATCTGTCTTCTTCTAACTGTCTATCTGTCTTTCTAACTTGCTCATCTATCTGTCTTCAACTGGTTCATCTATCTGTCTTCCTAACTGCTATCTATCTGTCTTTTCTAACCGTTCATCTATTTTCTTCTAACTGCCCATCTATCTGTCTTCCTAACTGTCTATCTATCTGTCTTTCTAACTTTATTCTATCTTTCATCTTTCCTATGTCTATCTATATCTGTCTTTCTAACTGTCCTATCTACTCTGTCTTTCTAACTATCTCTATCTGTCTTTTCTAACTGTCTATCTATGTCTTTCTAACTTCTATCTACTCTGTCTTTCTAACTGTCTATCTATCATCTTTCCTAACTGTCTATCTATCTGTCTTTCTAACTGTCTATCTATCTGTCTTTCTGTCTATCTATCTGTCTTTCTAACTGTCTCTATCTATCTGTCTTTCTAACTATCCTTCTATCTGTCTTTCTAACTCTGTCTATCTATCTCTTTCTAACTGTCTATCCTATCTGTCTTTCTAACATCTATCTGTTCTTTCTAACTGTCCTATCCTGTCTTTCTAACTGTCTATCTATCTGTCTCTGCTGTCTATCTGTCTTTCTAACTGTCATCTGTCTTTCTTCCATCTATCTATCTGTCTTTCTAACTGTCCATCTATCTGTCTTTCTAACTGTCTATCTATCTCTATCTTCCCTATGTCCTCATCTGTCTCTTTCTAACTGTCTATCTATCTGTCTTTCTTTGTCTATCTATCTGTCTTTCTAACTGTCTATCTATCTGTCTTTCTAACTGTCTCTATCTGTCTTTCTAACTGTCTATCCTATTCATCTTTCCTAACTGTCTTCATCGTCTTTCTAACTGTCTATCTATCTGTCTTTCCTAACTGTCCTATCTATCTGTCTTTCTAACTGTCAATCTATCTGTCTTTCCTAACTGTCTATCTATCTGTCTTTCACTTTCTATCTGTCTTGTCTTTCTAACTGTCTATCTATCTGTCTTTCCTAACTGTCTATCTATCTGTCTTTCTAACTGTCTGTCTATATGTCTAGCCAGGGTCAATTTAGCAGCAGGGGTGGACATAAAGTACCGAGTGAAGGATCTTTTTCAACACAGGATGACTCCTGGCAGAACAAAGGTGTCGGCAGCTTCCATGACTGAACTTCAGTATGCAGGACGACCTCACCCTTGTTGCTCACTGAACACGACCTACAGGAGATCCTGAACACCTACACAGATGCGTCACACACACTTCGGCCTTGAGGTGAATGTACGTAGATTCATTCTCTTTAGCCTGCCCGGTTCAGCCACACCTCCAGCCATCCAGTTTTAAAGTGCTACCCCTCTCTAATGTTACCCTTTCAGTATCTCGCTCCCACCTGTCCCACCACCACAGACATCGATGAAGAGATTCAACATCGGATCAGATATGCATCTCAAGCCTTTGGCAAACTCTGTAATATCAACAATATTTACCTAGATTTGCCAAGGCTTTTGGCAGTATACTCCAAGAAGGCTGAAAAATTAAACTGGAAAGATGCGGTTAGAAATGTCCAGAGTGGATAGTAGACTTCCTACATGACCGCAAGCAGTGTGGTGATTAATGGCACGAAATCATCATCTGTACCTGTACTAGCGAGGTACCACAGAGCGTATATGGGACCCTGTTGTTTTGATTGTTTCATAAATGACATCCTGACGTTGTACACTCCTCCACAAATGTTTTGCGATATGGCCCGAGTTATTTGAAATCAAGAACCAAGTGGACTGTGAAGAGCTGCAGAAGGACCTCTGTTGGCCCAAGAATGGTCAAGAAATGGCTGCCGAGATTCAATGTCGCAGTGTAAGGATGCACCTGGGGTGATAAGCAGTAGAGGCGTATCATATGTCCCCAAGGATGAAGAAACTGCACTAAGGTGAGGCTGAATGTGAGAAGGACCTAGGAGTGTATGTTGACAATGAGCTGAACAAATTAATGCCTAGTTGGCATCCTTGTTACATGAGAAACAAATATTATTTTTTTTAGAGTATAATGTGGCATAATTGTGTAGTGCCGTGTGGTGTAGTGTATGTGTGTAGTGAAAGAATGCTAGAGGTGTTGACATTATATCAAGTGTTTCAAAAATCATATCGAGAAGTCATATAAATCAATTAAAATATACAAATCTATAAAACAAATAATCCGATTTACTGACAAAAAACTACTCATCATTGTGTGAGTCACACAAAACATCACACGGTCATTGTTACTCATTATAAAAATTATTCATGGCAAAATAAATCAGCAATCATTATTTTTTTATTTGTTACAAAGTTTCCCACGAGTAAGTGAATAATGAGAAAATTGGTAAAATAATTGAAATACAAAATAGGTAATTCATTATAGTTATATTTGACTCATTTGCCCCAAAGGTTCAGTTCGGTTAGGTTAGGCTGGAAAATCTCAAGAATCCGGGAAAATGAAGCCCAGCAAGTATGACCTTCCTAAATGTTTAATAGTGTTGGAACCTTATTAAACATTTATAAGGTAGCATTGAACCTTCTAAACATTAATAAGGAAGCATTGAAACCTTCTAAACATTAATAAGGAAGCATTGAACCTTCTAAACATTTACAAAGGTAGCATTGAAACCTTCTAAACATTTACAGGTAGCAACAATGAAACCTTCTAAACATTCATAAAAGATAATATTGGAACCTTACTAAATATATACAAGGTAGCATTACACTTTACAGCCAGGAGGCCACTTCATCTGCGGCCCCTAGTATGTGGAGGTGCAGGTGGTAGACTGACTGTGCCCCATCACGACCATTGTTGATAACTGTAAAATAGTTATTATACTTTGACATAATCTATTAATATTTTAAATAGTTATTATACTTTGACATAATCTATTAATATTTAAATAGTTATTATACTTTGACATAATCTATTAATATTTAAAATAGTTATTATACTTTGACATAATCTATTAATATTTAAAATAGTTATTATACTTTGACGTAATCTATTAATATTTAAATAGTTATTATACTTTGACATAATCTATTAATATTTAAATAGTTATTAAACTTTGACATAATCTATTAATATTTAAAATAGTTATTATACTTTGACATAATCTATTAATATTTAAATAGTTATTATACTTTGACATAATCTATTAATATTTAAATAGTTATTATACTTTGACATAATCTATTAATATTTAAATAGTTATTATACTTTGACGTAATCTATTAATATTTAAAATAGTTATTATACTTTGACATAATCTATTAATATTTAAATAGTTATTATACTTTGACATAATCTATTAATATTTAAATAGTTATTATACTTTGACATAATCTATTAATATTTAAATAGTTATTATACTTTGACATAATCTATTAATATTTAAATAGTTATTAAACTTTGACATAATCTATTAATATTTAAAATAGTTATTATACTTTGACATAATCTATTAATATTTAAATAGTTATTATACTTTGACATAATCTATTAATATTTAAATAGTTATTATACTTTGACATAATCTATTAATATTTAAAATAGTTATTATACTTTGACGTAATCTATTAATATTTAAATAGTTATTATACTTTGACATAATCTATTAATATTTAAAATAGTTATTATGCTTTGAAAGCATAATCTATTAATATTTAAAATAGTTATTATACTTTTGACGCAATCTATTAATATTTAAATAGTTATTATACTTTGGCGTAATCTATTAATATTTAAAATAGTTATTATGCTTTGTATAATCTATTAATATTTAAAATAGTTATACTTTGACATAATCTATTAATATTTAAATAGTTATTAGACTTTGACATAATCTATTAATATTTAAAATAGTTATTATACTTTGACATAATCTATTAATATTTAAATAGTTATTATACTTTGACATAATCTATTAATATTTAAAATAGTTATTATACTTTGACGTAATCTATTAATATTTAAATAGTTATTATACTTTGACATAATCTATTAATATTTAAAATAGTTATTATACTTTGACATAATCTATTAATATTTAAATAGTTATTACACTTTGACATAATCTATTAATATTTAAATAGTTATTATGCTTTGACATAATCTATTAATATTTAAATAGTTATTATACTTTGACGTAATCTATTAATATTTAAATAGTTATTATACTTTGACATAATCTATTAATATTTAAATAGTTATTATACTTTGACATAATCTATTAATATTTAAAATAGTTATTATACTTTGACATAATCTATTAATATTTAAATAGTTATTATACTTTGACATAATCTATTAATATTTAAAATAGTTATTATACTTTGACATAATCTATTAATATTCAAAATAGTTATTATACTTTGACATAATCTACTAATATTTAAAATAGTTATTATACTTTGACATAATCTATTAATATTTAAAATAGTTATTATACTTTGACATAATCTATTAATATTTAAATAGTTATTATACTTTGACATAATCTATTAATATTTAAAATAGTTATTATACTTTGACATAATCTATTAATATTTAAAATAATGATTCATCTAACAAGAAAAATCACTAAAAAATAAAAAATAAATCCCCCCAAAATTAACAAGTGATTCATAAAAATCCCTAAAATATAACAAGAAAAATCCCTAATAAAATAAAAATGATTCATCTAACGAAAATTCCTAAAAATAGTAAACTATTAATTTTCACTCAATGCCACCCCAATCCCTAACGACACAACGACTTACCTGCGATAACCATGTAAACTCTCCCACCAAACTGCGACTTTCTTGACGCCACCCAATAACCGTCCCAACAACTGAAAATAAATACAAATTAGCAAATCATTAAAATCACCTGCTTAGCCCCCTATGGCTCACCTGAACGATAGCCCCCCCCTGAGGTGGGTCCTAGTACACCAGATCCAATTTAGTCTTTTATTTCTCCAATTTATTTATTTATTACTGTATAATTTACTTTATTATTGTATTATAACCTAACATAACATAACATAACCGAACCGAACCTAACCAAACCCAACCCAACCAAACCTAATCTAACCAAAACCTAACCTAACCAAAATCTAACCTAACCAAAACCTAACACACTATATATATAAATGGGATGTAAACTCCTATAGCTAGATCATTTCTCTTCATTTACCGCCACATCCTCTTCACCGGCATCGCTCAACATCGTGATCCGCTGTTTGGGAATCACGAGAATGTGCGTCGGCGCCTGGGGGTTGACGTCGCGGAAGGCCAAGCAGGAGCCGTCTTCGTAAACAATGTCCGCAGGTATGGAACGGTCGATGATTTTGTCGAATATCGTCGGCTGGAGTTTCTGCGTCTCAGTTGCCGACCGCGCCTTAGAGACTTCATCGCTCATCGATTGTTTGGGCTGAAAGTAAATAAACAGATAAAACACAGATAAATAGGATATAAGTAAACAAAGAGATAAGGCAGAAGAGGAATAAATAGAAGAAATTAATTAAACGAGAAGTAAAATCTTAAAGAAAGCAAAGAGGCAGATTAGAAATACCATAGTTATATAAAACCTCCTTTCCTTAATATAGAATGGATAAATAACACCAAAACGGCAATAAATTAAAGAATAACTGTAAAAAAAACGATAAATAACAAAAAAAATGGTAATAATAACATTGAATATCACATCTCGAGCTCCACATGTATCTCCATATAGGCTTAATTTAGCAACAATTATATAATAACAAGATTAAAATTCCCTCACAGGATTAGAGAGACTTACAATCAACCAGTTAGAGGACTTGACACCATACACAGCGGGGTAAAATAAGCGATAACTACCATTAACCTTTGAAATATTCCTCACTAATAACGCCATGTTTATCATTTGATCCATGACGTCATTAATGTATAAGTAAAGAAGAATTGAATCCTTTATTTAATTGAACTTATGAAAAATAAAGAAATCAAAGTAAATTATAAAGTATCAAAGACTCTTATATTGATGCTTTTGTTTATACTGTGACTCAAGGCAAGGTACCTGGTCTTATAGCCAGCTGGTCCATGAGTGAGAATAATAATGTTAAGGAATTACGACGACATGATCGCCCTTTATCTATTAATTTAAGCAAAAACTAATTAATCTCAACTAATCTTTAATTAAATAATAACAAATAATCTTTCAATAATCGAATATAATTAATTCCAACTAATCCTGCCTTAATCCAACTTATTTGACCTATTCCTAATATGATCCTAACTAGAAATAACATGATAGAAACATATTTAGTTAATTAAATCTGATAGATAGATGAATGAATAGATACATAGATATAATATGGATAGATAGACATATAGAGATAGATAAATAAAAAATAAAAAATAATTGAAAATATTTTAGGCAAGTGTTGGTGTTCGTGGTAGTGAGTCAACCTTGGCCCACCGCCGCCCAGTATGTCGTGGTTTTAGCTGCGGCTTCTTAGTAATTATTCCGTCAAGGTCGCGGAAATTTCTTCTAGTCACCTCCTAACTTCCTCCACAGGTAGGTATATATATTTCCTCCCCGAGTTATAGGTGGAGTTATACCTCAATACCTTACAATTAATGAGAAATATGTATAGAGGGTAACCACACAACTACCCTCACATTGTTTATATTATGTGACCTTTAACGAGCCATATTGTTATTTTCTAATATATCTAACTAATATATCTCTCTATGTATGATAAAAGAGTTAATATAATCTGTATATAACACGTATTTTTATTATAACGTTTATGATGTATTAAGTTGAAGAGGTCATAGTTCACCACACCTCTATGACGTCACTCTAGCTTGTTATCTCCTGTCAGTAATTACCACAAATTTATCTTTTTTTTATCTGTGGTGAGAGGTGATGGTCAGGTCAGGTCAGGTCAGGTCACATGTTGTTACACAGGAGTTATTATTTTATGTATATTTAGATTATGTATGTATGTATGTATGTATTTATGTATGTATGTATGAATGAATAGTGAAAAAATAATATAATAATTTTTTTTATAATGGCTGTGTATTCCTGAGACATAAATGAATATAATCGACTAAATTTTTAATAGTTTCCGAGAACATTACAGGTTTGGTAGTAGAGTGATTAATTTTATATAGGGTGTATATGAAACAAGTAATACACCTTGCTAGTGATGTTTTTATGTGACCCTATAGGTAGAAATGAAGTTGGTTTATGTGAGGTAACTGTAGGTTTTATTACTACCAGACCTGTCATGTGCCGTAGGTCAGAAACTATTGAGAATTTGGTTATTTAATCGTTTATCTTGACAGGTATGCCTCGACTTACGACCGCCTCAGTCGTACCTAAATTTTGTTAAATTACGTATTTTCGAGTCCCGACGTCAGTGATTGCGCTGTGTACTGACAATTTTCGTTTGTAGTTCCCTTTAAAATGGCTGGTAAGCTTAAAAGTGAGAGTTTTGTGGTGTTGAGAAGGAAAAGAGACACCCATTTTAGATTTTATATGTATTATTTAAGCATTTTCGACTTAGGACCTGGATTTGGGTCCCTAACTCCGTCGTAAGTCGGGGAGGGGCTGTATTTGTGTCTCGGGAACACGCACCTTGATTTATGAAAGGTATTTATGGACCACCCTGTATGTAAGGGAACTATTCTGCACCCCCCCCCATACTAGACTAGCGATGGGCCACTATATTGTACCTCATTATATTACGGCTCTATGACGACTTACATCTCATCGGAGGTCACAAATGATATATTACCGGAAGATTACCAACTCTAACCAAATTCTAACCTAACATAACAATTCTAACCTAACCTAACCTAACTTAACCCAACCCAACCTAACCTAACCTAGCCTAACCTAACCTAACCTAAATATCTTGTAGACTGTGCCCCATACATACATACAGTAGTCCCTCGGTAAACGAGCACAATTCGTTCCAGAAGGTTGCTCGTTAACCGAAAAATTGTTTCAATGGGTTTTTGGGTAATTGGTCCCAGCTCACCGAAAATTACATAAAAACTAAAAATAAATGCAGTAAAGTACACTTACTTTGAGGTGTGCATGTAGAAGGCTCCTGGTTGATGATGATGGGAATTAGAATGGGGGTGGAGGAGAAGGGAGAAGAGAAGGCATTGGGGTGGAAGAGAAGTCACCCCATGGTGCCATTTCACCCATAAAATTATAGTTCACTTGGTTTAATTCAAGATTATTTTCTTTAAATCAACACTGTACTGCGGTATATATTATCAATATGTAAAATATATTTCAAAATGACCAATAATTTGACTGGAAACACAGAAAAAAGTGTTAATGTTGAAGAGTCTCAAACAAGATGTTCCTTCCATAGGTGGAAAGATTCAGTGTATATGAGGTTAAGATTAGGATATAAATATTATTGGGAACTTGGAGCTGAGAGAAGTGAACAGGATAAAGAATGTAGAGTTTGTAGAACATCCAGATCCCATACCCTGCCACATTATATACTGGAATGCCCATTGCTTAATGTATATAGAAATGCCCATATAAATAATGTCTCCAAGCAAATAGAGTGGATGTTTGGAAATGGGAAAATAGATGAAATATTAAAGAAATATAGAAATTTTGCATCTAGAATATAACTATGTATTATAACTAATTATATGAAATATTAGGGATTTATGTGAGTCCTGAGAGGGACATTCCTGGACTGGGGTGAGGATGACTTATGTCACTTCATCCCTTTGAGATGTATTAATGTTTTTTTGTATCTCAATAAACGTATCAATCAATCAATGTTCCTTCCTCTGAACCTGTAAACAAACTGACGCCAAGCTTGGTGTGTTGAGTGGCTGTTTGGCGAGCAAAAAATAGTTTCCTGTACTTTAATTATGTTCAATAATTGTTAAAATGACTAAAAAATGTATTGTAAAACTTTTAAAATTATTGAATAGTACAACCTTCTTGATATTTACTAAAATGGTAAGGAATTTAAGCCCTAAAACCGATTACTGTATTGGCGGACTAATACGACAGCTGGTGAGCAGGCGAAAACATGTTGTGAAAAATTCGAAAGGAATTTGTTAACCGAAGTGAAGAATCTTATGGAAGGTAATTCGTTAACCGAGGGATCACTGTACATACATACATACATACATACATACATACATACATACAGTACCAGTGTTTTATAAGTTATGTGATTTCTCCAATTTACCTGAAGATTAGACACCCTAATACGACCTGGTTAGGTTAAGTTATGTTAGGTCGGGTTATGTTGTGTTAGGTTAAGTTAGGTTAGGTCGGGTTATGTTGTGTTAGGTTAAGTTATGTTGTGTTAGGTTAAGTTATGTTAGGTCGGGTTATGTTGTGTTAGGTTAAGTTATGTTAGGTCGGGTTATGTTGTGTTAGGTTAAGTTATGTTAGGTCGGGTTATGTTGTGTTAGGTTAAGTTAGGTTAGGTCGGGTTATGTTGTGTTAGGTTAAGTTATGTCAGGTCGGGTTATGTTGTGTTAGGTTAAGTTATGTTAGGTCGGGTTATGTTGTGTTAGGTTAAGTTAGGTTGGGTTTGGAGAAGTTAGGGTTTTTTTTAAGTTAGGTACAGTACTGTAATTAAGTTAAGTTCACAGATAAACAGAGACAGACAGACACATAGACAGGGAGACACAAAGACAGACAGACAGGGAGACAACCAGACAGACAGACAGCCAAACAGACAGACAGACAGACAGACACATGACAGGGAGAGACAATGACAGACAGACAGGGAGACAACCAGACAGACAGAAGACACACAGCCAACCAGATAGACAGACAGACAGACAGAAAATGGACAGCCAAACAGACAGACAGACAGACAGACACAAACTCACACAAATCAAGTAACACTTTGTACTCTGTCTGTGGCCTTACTCATAAACTATTTTAATTGAGTCAAATTAAACCCAAACTTATATTGTATTTTTAAGTGGGGGAAATGAGGGCCACTTATGTCAGAGGTTAAGTTAAGTAAGGTTAAGTTAAGTGAGGTTAGGTTAAGTGAGGTTAGGTTAAGTTAGGTTAGGTTAAGTGAGGTTAGGTTAAGTGAGGTTAGGTTAAGTTAGGTTAGGTTAAGTGAGGTTAGGTTAAGTGAGGTTAGGTTAGGTTAAGTTAGGTTAGGTTAAGTTAGGATTAAGTTAAGTTAGTTTAGAATGGATAATTTAACTAACAGTCTTACGAATAAAAAAAATCTTATTGGCTACATCGATATAAACAAACGAATGGTATAAAAAATAATAACATAACAAAAGAACATCAACATAAACAAAAGAACAACATAACGAAACAACATCGACAATATGTGACAGGATTTGTATTCACTTCCTAAACTAGAGAATATGTAGGGCTGGATGTGTCTGGCCTTGAACCAACAACAGAGCCACTACATATTTGCTACACCGCTACATCCACTGCATATTACCACCAATACCACCACATATCCACTCCATCCACCACATATCCACTCCATCCACCACATATCCACTCTATCCACCACATATCCACTCCATCACCACATATCCACTCCATCCACCACATATCCATTCCATCCACCACATATCTACTTCATCCACCACATATCCTCCTATCCACCACATATCCACTCCATCCACCACATATCCTCCATCCACCACATATCCTCCATCCACCACATATCCACTCCATCCACCACATATCCCTCCATTCCACATCCACTCCACCCACCACATATCCACTACATATCCACTTCATCCACACATATCCACTCTATCCACCACATATCCACCAGGTAAACATAACAGAACCCACGGTCTGCTGAGCTGCACTATAACAAAAATTATCAAAACAGACGAGCCCTCAAGGTTACCTCCTGGGTCCTGCTGTTACTG